TTTGAAGAATGGTGAAAATGAACCTGAGGGAAACACGTTTTGCTCTGGTGCCATCTAAGGGTTGATATATTGAACTGCAAGCAGGTTTGAACATTTCAGAGTGGTTTTATTTTTAGACTTTTGTTTTATCAAAATAATTTTACACACCAACTAAAAAAAGTCAGTTTGTGAAGAAAAGGGGGAGTGGTGGACTAGTGGTTAGGGCATAGATCTTGGAATCCTGAGGTTCTGAGTTCGAACACCCACTCCAACAGATGGCCAATTTGGCTCCATGAGCAAGACCCTTAACCCCACACTGCTCCCCGGGCGCCCCACAATGGCAGCCCACTGCTCCCCAAGGGGATGGGTTAAATGCAGAGAATTCATTTAGGTGCTCTTTACATGTGACAGTGGAATTAATAAATTTTAAAGTGCGTTCTCCTTAAACACAACAGTGAAACATTTGATTAATCGACTGTATTGATCTCACAGTGGAGAAATAGCTATATATATATATATATATATATATATATATAGCTATTTCTCCACTGTGAGATATATATATATATATATATAATACTCAAAAAAATAAAGGAACACTTTGTAATCAGAGTATAACATCAAGTTAATTAAACTTCTGGGATATTGATTTGGTCAGGTAAGTAGCAGAGAGGGTTGTTAATCAGTTTCAGCTGCTTTGGTGTTAATAAAATTAACAACAGGTGCACTACAGGGGCAACAACAAGATGACCATCCACACAGAAATGGTTTAACAGATGGAGGCCACACCAGTTGTGCATTTGGCTAGGGTCACTGTCACTACTGTTAGCATGAGGCGCTACCTGGACCCTACAGAGACTGCACTGGCAGTCCAACTTCTGCAGGACTGCACATCAATACGTGCCATTGCCAGAAGGTTTGCTGTGTCTCCCAACACAATCTCAAAAGCATGGAGGAGATTCCAGGAGACAGGCAGTTACTCCAGCAGAGCTGGACAGGGCCGTAGAAGGTCAACAACCCATAAGCAGGACCGCTATCTGCTCCTTTGTGCAAGGAGGAGCAGGAGGAGCACTGCCAGAGTCCTACAAAAGGACCTCTAGCAGGCCCCTGGTGTGAATGTCTCTGACCAAACAATCAGAAACAGACTTCACAAGGGTGGCCTGAGGGTCCGACGTCCTCTAGTGGTCCCAGTGCTCACTGCCCAGCACCGTGGAGCTTGATTGGCATTTGCCACTGAATTGGCAAGTCCGCCACTGGCGCCCTGAGCTTTTCACAGATGAGAGCAGGTTCACCCTGAGCACATGTGACAGACGTGAAAGGGTCTGGAGAAGCCGTGGAGAATGTTATGCTTCCTGTAACATCGTTCAGCATGACCGGTTTGGTGGTGGGTCAGTGATGGTCTGGGGAGGCATATCCATGGAGGGACGCACAGACCTATACAGGCTAGACAACGGCACCCTGACTGCCATTACGTATCGAGATGAAATCCTTGCACCCATTGTCAGACCCTATGCTAGTGCAGTGGGTCCTGGGCTCCTCCTGGTGCACGACAATGCCTGGTCTCATGTGGCGAGAGTATGCAGGCAGTTCATGGAGGAAGGAATTGATACCATTGATTGGCCACCACGCTCGCCTACCCTAAATCCAGTTTAACACCTCTGGGACATGTTTCGATCCATACGACGCTGCCAGGTTGCACCTCAGACTGTCCAGGAGCTCAGTGATGCCCTGGTCCAGATCTGTTAGGAGATACCCCATGTCGCCATCCGTCGTCTCATTAGGAGTATGCCTCAACGTTGTCAGGCATGCATACGTGCTGGTGGGGGCCATACAAATTACTGAATACAATTTTGAGTTTCTGCAATGAAATTTCAGCAAAATGGACTAGCCGCAACATTTTTTCACTGTAATTTTTGGGGTTTCTTTGAAATCAGCCCTCTGTAGGTTGATAATTATAATTTCCATCAAATGATGTGGCATCCTTTTGTTCCTAGCACATCACCCAGTCCATATCAGTATAAATAAACAGCATGGTTTTTGCCCCATTGAGATCTGATGTGTTTTCAAAGTGTTCCTTTAATTTTTTTGAGCAGTGTATATATATTGTCATTGCACTGGGTGTCAAATATAGAGAAATGGGTCATTGCACAGTGTATCAAATAGTAAATTGCACATTATACATTGCACAAATTATTGCCATAATAGTGTTGCATTGTAGAGAGTGGTTGCAGCAGGGATGAATGGCCTGCGGTACCGCTCCTTTTTACAAACAGTGTAAAAGTCTTTCACTAAAGGAGCGGCTCAGCTCCTCTACATCTGGTGCAGAGGGTGAAAGGTGTTGTCCATGATAGAAGTAAGCTTGGAAAGCACCCTCCTCTCAGCCACTTTTTCCACTGAGTCCAGAGCACAGCCTAGGACAGAAGCGGCCTTTCTCACTAGTTTGTTGTCTTTCTGTCCCGCTCTGTGCTGCCAGGGGTCCAGCAGACAACAGCGTAGAGCAGGGCTGCTGTCACCACAGAGTCATAGAAAAAAAAGACAATATCTCTGCAGTTAGTTGCTAGGTGCATTGCTACACCATAATGTTCCTGTGAAAGGTGCATTCAGACTATTTGCATAGTACCCATGCAAATTGTGTGTGAAAGTGTGAAGAAGCGGCCAGTGGTGAATGCCACATGGTGATGGTGTTCACCACTCCACTCTCACCTCTTTCTACTTGATTGAACAGAGGTGTTGTCAAACAGTGCTGATTACTGAAGTTTAAAAATCTGAGCTTGAAATTACGTGTAGTTGTGACATAGATTAAAAAGTGCAGTCGAGGCAAAACTTTCTTCAGTTAAAATTTAAAAAATTATGACATAAGGAGTGCTTTGGAGAGGTTTTTAAGTGGCTTTAAAAAAAGATATTTTCTAGGATTGCTTGTCGTCCTTCATTAGCTCCAGCATAGACCACAGTCCAGAGACAGCTGAGGATCACACAAAGTGGACTTTTTTTTCAGTGTTTTCTGCACTTTTCTAAACGTTTATAGTACTTCCGAGACGATTCAAGAGAACAATTTAGCAGCAGTATGTGATGTTACATTTCATTTGTGCTTTTAATGTGAAATGCCGAAAGCGAGACCTTGACAGGATGATTACTAAAGATTAAACAATCTTTCCACTCACTAAATTAGGTAAACATGAAGACAGGAATGTGGTTGACCTCTGGATAACCTAAATACAGTAAGTCATCTATAATATCTCTGAATCAAAAGTAACACTTGTGATCTTTAATTTTTTTAATTTAAATTATTATTATTTTTTTTTTTTACAACTGATCATTATAAGTGCACAAACATGCACTAATGAAGCTCTAACCATTCAGTCTATTTAGTACGTTTTTTTCATGTGGGTGGTTTTCAGCCTCAGGCAGCTGAAGTTCCTCTTATTTCCTGGGTGTGAACCATACATCTAAAATTTCTTACTATTTGATTTTTTAAAACTGATTATATGGGGATAATATTATTATGGAATAAATAAAACTGTTGCCATTGTTGCGCCATATGCCATTATCATTCAACCAAGAGCGGCTGGACTGTATTCTCTACGTTCTCAAGCGTCTTTGCTTCTGTCTGTACCTAGTGTCCGCACTGAAGCTGGAAAGACAGCTTTTCAGTACTCTGCCCCCACAGCAGGGAACAATCTTCAGAAAGACTGGAAGTTGAAGGATTTGTTTCCAATCGGACATTTTAAACGATTGCTCAAAGGTTTGAAAATGAGATCTATGGTTTGTAACTGTTTTACGAATTTCTAATTATAGATAGATGTAATTGTAAACTGTAATGTAATTTGTAATGTAATCATTTGCCGCTGTCTTGGCCTGGACTCGCCTTGAAAAAGAGATTGTTAATCTCAATGGGACTTTTCCTTGTTAAATAAAGGAATAAAAAAAAAAAAAATCATACTTTTTGGACATTGGGAACCAGTGTCCATATTTCATCGATAGGATGACCAGAGAACACGCAGCTTTGGTGAATAACAGCTGGGGGGGCCTCTGTAATTTTCATCAGAACTCTGGCTGCAGCATTTTGGATCAGCTGAAGGCTTTTAACTACAGTTTGTGGACTTCCTGATAGTAAACAATTACAATAGTCCAGCTTTGAAGTAACAAATGCATGGACTAGTTTCTCAGCATCACCCCTGGACAGGATATTTCTAATTTTTTGAAATATTCCTCAGATGAAAGAAGGACATTCTAGAAACCTCTTTGATCTGGGATTTAAATGACAGGTCCTGATCAAAAACAACACCAAGATTTTTTATTTTATTATCTGAAATCAGTTTAATCCCATCCAAATAAAGTGACTGACTAATCAGATTCTTTTTCAAAGACTTTGGTCCAAAGACTATAACTTTTGTTTTGTCTGCATTCAGAAGGAGAAAGTTAAGAGTCATCCAGGTTTTTATGTCTTCAAGACATGCCTGTAATTTCTGTAATGGGTTAGCTTCATCTGGATTTATAGACATTGTTCCTCAGATGCTCATTACATTTCCATTAGCAAGTATGACCAAGAATCATTTAGTGGAATCCTGATGTCTATTAGCTGCTAGCTATTTCAAAGAGGGTAAAGAATTATTTGACTAAAGTTTTTTTGTTCTTGATTAAGCAAACCATTCAATAAAACATTATTTGGCCAAATAATGTTTTATTCACCTCATGGATTTGCATTGTGAATTGGTCTGAAAACATTCCAATTTCTTTAAAATTAATGAAAAGCTAATTTGATCATATCCCAAATTCTTTGAGATAAACTTTGGTTTCAGACACAAAATCCTTCTTAAACTGTAATATGTTTTTCAACCGTTTCCCCCTTCCTCTTTGTACATAGTAGTTTAGTTTAACTATTCTTAGTTGAGAGTGTTAAACTGGAATATGTTTGACTTGGAGCTGAATGATTTTTGTTAATAAACTCTTATATTTTGAACAGAAGTTGTGGTGAATTTATTCCATGTATGTGCAGAAATAACTGACCATGATTAGTGCTCGAATCACTCTTTCATTTATTGTTCTAACACACAGTTAGTAGGACTGTGTGTCATAAACAATATATAACAGCTGAAACAATATCTGATTAAATAACATATTTTATCCCCCCTACCGGGGGCAATAAACATATTAAAGTATCAGACATATAAATTCCCAGCTGGCTGGGAATAGAAAAGAACATAAAATAACAACACCATGTACAAAAAATATCCTTTTTCTACTAACAAAGCAGCACTTATTTCCACATTTATTATTATTTTCTTCTGTGATTTTTAGCCTACAGAAAATGTCTCAGCATCTTAAATGTAAATAAATCAATCAAAAGGTAAACCCAGTTAATAGAAAGATAAGAATACCCACTGGATAATTTAACAGCCACTTTCTTCCTTTTCAGAGATTTCATTTGATGATGAAATGAGTTAAACAAGTTTCCTTCAACGTATATTTTTATTCAGATAGAAATTAAATCCAATCCAAAAAAACAAACCACCCTCAGCCTTCACTGTATTTAGTAAATCAAGTTGAGATAAGCCTTAATTTCACATTATATCTTAGTCAGCTGTTCAAGTAGCGTAATGATGCTTCAATGTCACAAGAAATCAATCTATGATAGCAACCTGAGGAATATATATATGAAACATATTTACATATTTCCATTTCCCTACAAGGAGGACCAAAAAATAAAAATACATGAAGCACAACTTAATCTACGAAGAAGAAGAAATAAAGTCTCTTTTAGTCAACCAAGTAAAGTGTGCTCTTCAAATGTGTGCATTTCAAACCCTTGCTGGGTTTAAATGTTCTACTTTGACGAGAGTCTGAGCAGAAATATTCTTTCCAACAAGATTCCATGCTTCAAAAACTGCTGAAATGGTTTGTATAAATTACTGCAAAATAACAGGTTACACATAATGAAAAAAATCAGTCACCATCTAATGATTAGAAGGATGCTTTAACCTTCGGTGCTATGAGGTAAAATGAACATAAACTTTGAGGATTTCTTCCGGGTGTTTTTTCAGTCGTAGCTAAGCTGTGTTGTATTCAGCCTTTGAGTAATGGCTTGTTAGACGAGCAGAGGATTGTCCAGAACGGCCACACCAGCAGCGACACCCCCGTCTGCATGCTCTGAACTCTTGGTCCTCAGTAGATGACCCACACACTCATTCAACACCATGTGCTCACCCTGCCTGTTGGGAAACATATAAGAGGAGAATTAACACAGCTTTTTTTGTCTGATATTGTAAAGAAATATGCAAAGATGAGATGATAACTAAAGGGTAGCAAACTAATTTTAACTAAATTCAAACACTTATAATGGCTAGTTGCAGCTGTATAAATAAAACTTTGGAGTTTATCCCTTCCTTTATAAAGAGCTCAATACTTTAGTTATCATTGATCCCATTTATTTTGCAGTTTTAGCCACTTTGCACACTTTCAAATGAGCAGACACCTCCAATTTGTGACATTATATCCATTTTTTTGCTCTTAAAGGTCATATAATTTGCCTTGGGACACCGGATTCGACACGGGTCTAAAGTTTGACACATAAGATATAAGGGAAGAGAATTGTGAACCTTCTCTAGTCTGATTCTTCCTTGGGTATCATTTCCTGATGCATGAAGTTCCAACATCAATCTGTTCCAAAAATAATATTGAAGTATAAGCACCATGGGAATATATTCCTTCTGCTCAGGGGGGACATGGGTTCTATTCAATTTTATTCTACTCTTTTCAATTCTATTTTACTCAATTCAACTTCAGCTCAGATATACAGCGAAATTCACAACACATGTCATCCCAAGGCACTTTACAAGCCATTGCTTCTTCCTCCTCCTTTTTTTCAACACCCTGTTTTAGTGAACAGAATACTCTCTTCGAAATTGTATGCTGTGGCTTATGCTAAGTTTTTTTCTTGTATTAGTTTTCTTTTTTTAAATGTTTCAAATAAAATAAAACTATTTTTTTTGTTCTCCAATAGTATTTAACTGAGGCCGATTTCATATTCCTTTGCAAAGTTCCTTTTCATATAGAGTTCCTCCAAATGACAGTAACAGGCAAACTCAGTAGAAGAAAGCAAGTGCACCCTTTCTAAAGCTGTCATTCTATTATAAACATGCACAAATAGAGTTGATGGGTTTGCACTTGAGGAAAAAGGAATTCAAAGAGAAAATATCTGTGCAAGAAGCATTAGATCTGAGAGCAGAAATTAAGATTTGATGAAGAACAAAATATATTTGAGAGAGAGCAGGAGTTTTGAATGTGAGCATAAGGAGTATTGAGAGCAAGTGGAGGTATTCCTGCTTTCCAAAAGAAAATGTTTGCTCTTCATTTTTGGCAGGAATAGTCTGCCATACAGCTGGAGCAACCTGCAAAATAGTTGCTTGTCAGTTGACAGGAGCAATTAGTATTTGGACGCACCTGTTGTTCAACAAACCAGAATCCATTGAATGATTCATTACCGGCCCTTTTTCTACTACCCAATTTAAACTACCCTTGAAAAACCGATCTATGCCGAGACCAGTTAACCAGGCCGAGCTCGGTTCTGACGACCGTTTACACATCACGCTATCTCGGTTCCTCGACTCCTCGCCTCCTAGTGACGATCTGCGGTATTGCTGCCAGTATTGAAGGAGGATATCAAGCAGTTGGTGGCAGTAATGCACCAAAAGTTGTTTGCCAACCGCCAAAAAACACAAGAAGAAGAGGAAGAAGGAGGAATCAAGCAAGCCAAAATGGCGGCGCCCGTCACATTCAGAAAGTTATGCTTGATTATTATTGCTGTACTTCGGTGTTATTTAAAATGCCATTATTTAAAATGTTGCGCGGAGAAGATTTCGATTGTTGTTCATAGTTCTTCTTCTTCTGTCTTGTGGTGGTTGGCAAGCAACTTCCGGAGGGGCATTACCGCCAACTACTGGATTGGAGTGTGAATCGGGATGTGCAGCCAGACGGAGATGACGCGTTCTGCTCATGCACTCATGTTATCAGAGAACCAAGCCAGGGAAAAACCGAGCCGAGCCCACCTCTGGAACTGGTCTGCAGTTAGCTCGGTTCAGGTTGCTTTCCATTTACACACGATAAGTTATCTCAGTTACTGAGCTCGGATCAGTCTCAGCACGGTTTTTTAAGGGTAGTGTAAATGGGGTATACTTCTGCTCTATGACACAAAATCTAAATGAAACACAATGAAGTTCCAGATGTGAAAAAAAAACATTAAAGAATGAATGAACACTTTTTTAAAGACTTTGTATAAGAGTTCCTTATTTTAATAACTTCTTATTTGACTTTGCAATGAGCAGTAATGAAAAAAGCAAAAAGGAATGGATGTGTTTTACCAGTTTTAAGATAAAACAACAACAACAAAAAAACGCAACAGCAGTAGCGATTTGCAGGTGGAGACAAAGCAGCGGGAGACAGAATGTAGAAGTAAGACTGAAAAAGAAAACTTATCTAAAATGATTTGATCAAGAGGGTTAAGTCATTTTAAATAACAGATTTGAAGCACAGCAGAATGACTGACACTTTATCTTCCTTAAAAGAAATTATTTGACTTAAGACAATAAATTGTATGTACCTTACATATGCTCCAAACACTCCCAGTTCACTAAGACAGTTGCTGATTGTGAGGGGAGTGTCTTCTCTTAGTAAGTAGTTCCGTATGGGAGTGGGATTAATTTTATCCATGAGGATATAAGCTGTCCGCTCTGTGCTCTCCTTCACTTCCCCTAAGACCCGGGTAATCTCGGAGCCATAGATGTTGTTACCTAGAGAGATAGGATCAAAATTAGGCATGGATTAAAGTTCAAACCACTTTATAACACAGTGGTTCATAAAGGATTGACACTAGGAGCGTAGATAGGACTACACTCATCTGCTTCAATATTTATATTCCTTAATAATTAAAGAACATTTTAAGGAAGTGCTCTGGAAGATTTTGGCCCTTTTATAGATTCCTTCTGAGATATATTATGATATCAGACAAAGATGACCTTAAAAATCATCAAAAACAGTTTTAAAATGTTGATAGCTTCTATAAAAGCTAACCCAACTGACCTGGATCAAGGAGGAAAATACAAAGAACACTATAACTGGTTGTATGGCAACAGTTATCGTAGCAGGGGTGAGGGGTCTTGGTCAGCTTTCTACTGTATGTTGTGCTGTTTTAATACAACAAAACAAAAATAAATACAACTAGGATCAAATTAAGATGTCTATTAAATAGTTAGCAGAAAAGCTGAATTAAAGGGACACTGGGGGATTTTCCATCAATGGACCGTTTGAGAACATTCAACGGCACATCAGTGGTTTTAAATCCAGATGTTCCCTGTTTTCTTTCTCAATCAACAGGTGTCTTTTGTACCTCCTCCCTCTCGCTGAGGTTTCAGAACAAACCGGTCCGGTTCTGCCAAAGCCATTGCTACAGTTTCGTCACCCTCATGTTCCTGATCACCAAAACAAAGCAGAAATCAATTAGGAAAATGTTCCAGTTTGGATTTTTATGTTTTTCTTCAATTGGCAAAGTAATTTGTAATGAGTTCCCTTTGCAGGGTGGCTGGGTGCACACTTAGACATCGGGTGAGGAGCTCAGTTACCCGGGATGAGCTCAGAGTCGTTGCTCCTCCACGTCAAGGAGCCAGCTGAGGTGCCTCCTGGTCGCCTCCCTATGGATACATTCCAGGCATGTCCTATGGGGAGGAGGCCTCATGTAAGGCCCAGGACAATGTGCTGGAGGGACAATGCCTCTGTGCTGGCCTGGTGTCGCCTTGGGGTCCCTCCAGAGCAGCTGGAGGAGGTGTGTGTGTGTATCGGGAAGTCTGGGCATCTCTGCTTAGACTGCTTCCCTTTGCGACCCAGCCCCAGATAAAGCGTAAGGAAATGGAATGGAAAAGTAGTTTGATAAAAAATAAACTGCCCTCACCATGTCTAGAGAATAGAGGCCTGCAAAAGTTGCCCTCATTTGCTTCACCACCTCAGGCTGGTCTGGGAAAAACTTCTCCAGAACTCCAGGTCTGGCCAACACTTGCTGGACCTTCTTGGTTCCTGCCAGGTGAGTGCTGATATCTGGACACTTTATTGCCAGAGAGCGCTCCATCATGAGACGAACGTCCCAGGACTGCAATTCACAAATCACAAAAAATGTATTCTAAACTTCTAAATGTGGAGAACAGGGTCATTACAGATCCTGAAAGTATTCACAGCACCTTAGCCATGAAGATCCTAATGAAGCTGAAGTGTAGGCAGCTTTCAAAGATGCTGACTAACCCAAACCCTTCTGATATTTCCACAGCTTAAATGGATTAAAACTGTGGTAAATGTCATTGATTCGATACCAAATCAATCACATTTCACTGATTCTTGGAAATATGGATAAAACGGATTTTATTTGAAAAAAAAAAAAAAAAAGGTAGTTAAATTACAAAATCTGAAGGTATATTGTTATAGACCAAGGCCTTAGCTGTTCAGCAATGTACCGGTGCAACCTCCTTGCTTTGTATTTTTTTTTCATAAAATAGGTGTTTTCCAGTTATTACTGTTTTTGTCAACACCATCAGACAAAATAAAGAGCACATTATTTTTTTATTTATTTGGTCAAATATGTCTTTAGAGTTTTTAAATCATTATCTGGCATTGTTAGTACACATATGTGCTGTTAAATATTTACTTTTGTTAATTTTCTACACTGTCACAAGTAGTCCTTTAAAAGATCTAACATCATACAATGTTTACTTTAAGCCTAAATAGAAAAGGTCATGTTTTTTTATTCAACAAACATATTTTTGTATTAAAATAGACTATCACTTTAATGACAGAACAACAATAAAGAAACATATTGTAAGCATATCAATTTAAAACAAATAAAAAGCCCTCTGACGGTGGTGACTGATTTTTTATTTTTTTTTTCCTTTCCTTCACCTTCTTCCATCTTTGCCTTTCCGTTCTGAGGTATTCCTCCTTTAAAGCTACAGTGTGTAATAATTACAGGGATATACAGTCAGAAATTGCCTTAGAATTCGTTATTTATAATTACATAGGAGCGGGTTTCGCAGCCATGGAGGCAGACATCTTTGCGCTACGGCAGCGCAGAGCCAACAAACTAGCCATTGCGAGATTGCCCATTACGCTCGAAAGTAACTACGGCAAGTTGAGAGAGATAAACGAAGACGGTACTGAACAATAGATGGCAGTATTATGCCTAGGAATACTATCTGTAAAATTATCTATGTAAACAAACCTCATCACTTGAGAAGGTAGGTGATGCGGACGTCGTGGAAGACATTTTGTCCCGTAACGCTCGCCGTACTGTTGGGGGGGAGAAGCGGTGGGGGGGAGATGTTCATGTTGCTGCGGTCTGCAGTCTGGACGTTAGATGTCGCTAAAAATTACACACTGTAGCTTTAACTCTGCATCACTATATTTTTTCTCACTATGCTTTTTTTTTTATATTCCCTGTTTCTTCTTCTTCTCTCTTCCAAAAATAGCTGGTCCCTAGCCATAACTTTCTAAAATACATAAAGTCAAAGTTGAGTGTATGACTATGAAATTGGGGGTAAATACAGTAAATGTTAGATTTGGTTAAATGTTGCCATGCCATTTTTATTAGGCTTTAGTCATAGGAGATGCAAAGCTTACAATGGATATTGTATACTATGTGCTATGCCAAACTAACATGGCATAATAGTGAATTCAGAGAGAGGGAAGGCACAGCTCATCCCTTACATACATAAACATAAATAATGATCTGTAATGAAAACATTACAGATCGACTCTAGCCTTTGTTGAGGACCATTTGTAGGGTTTTTGTCACCACCACGTCTGACGGTGGTGACAAAAAACTACTCTTTCACATGATATGCATGGGTTGTTCACATCAGCCATCTTGTTTCCCCTCTGTTTCCATGAAGGTAAATTTGTTTCTTTATTATTCAATCAAAAAAAAGTTCTTTTTCATTAAAAAAAAATCTTCACTTCAATGAAAAAAAAATTTCAATCAAAGAAAAAAGGTATTTGAATGCAAAAATATATTTGAGACTCAAAAAAACTACATTTGAACACTGCTTTTCTATGATTGAAAATGTTTTTTTTGATAGAAGTACAGTCTTTTTTTGTTTAAAGCAACTTTTTTAATCGAAGTAACATTGTTTTTTGATTGGACCATATAATGGTAGGACATTGGTGTCTTTATTATTCAATTAAAAAAGAAGTTGCTTCAAACAAACAAACAAACAAACAAACAACAGTATCAATAAAAAAAGTAACTTCAATGAAAAGATAAACGTTTTCAATCATAGAAAATAGTTTTTGAATGCAAAAAAAATATTTGAAACTCAAAAAATTGCATTCGAACACTTTTTTTTTTTTTATTGTTGAAAATGTTCTCTTTGGTTGAAAGGATCTAGTTTGTGTTTGGGTCATACATGGGAAGGACATTTATGTCTTAATCTTTCAGTTCCCAAAAAGTTGTTTCAATCAAAAAAAAAAAAAAAAAAAATCAAAGAAAAAACTGTGCAAATGCAAAATAAAAATAAAATTACCCCATAAGTAAATAATAAATTTTTTTTTTGAAGTGAAAAAAAATTTGAAATTCAATTTGTTTTATTTGAATGAATTTTTTTTGGAAGTGCAAAAAGTTTTGCAGTTCAAATTTTTTTGATTGAATAATTTTGACACAAATGTTCCGCAGTAGGCGGGTGCTTCTCTATTGGTCAGACATGTTTGATTGACAGATTAGAGTATCGGTCATGCATCCTGATATCTACACCGCGTCAGACAGCGTTCCCCCCATGTTAGACAGGGGAACGCTATCTGACCTTTTTTTTGATTGAATAATAAAGAAACAAATCTACCTTCATATGTTTCTATCTACTTTACACTTCTTCTTAAAAAGTAATCATTTATGTCATCCAGTCTCATGGGAAAATGTACCCCCACTACGTTGGTCCACACTGCAAAACGTAGTGGAGGTACATTAATGGCCATTTTTTTGTGGTACTGTTACATTTCTTCTGCCAATACGCTTTCTATTGTTTTACGTCCTAGTCACGTGACTTTCAAGATTCCAGCTGGGAGAAGAAAAAAATATATATAGATGGCCGACATTCACTCATTTTTTTGTGGAAAGATTAATAACTTGAGTTTGTTTTTGCATTAAAATGAGTTTTGATTACATTTCTAGTGAGAAATGTATAGTTTGTTGCCAGAATATTTACTCAGGGAATGTACATATTCACTTGCTTGTTCGTTTCTTGCAAAGATTTTTCAAGATAATGTGAAACTGAAACGTTTTGGTATACACATGGCTGAGATTTCTCTAACTTTTAGTGGGAAAATCAATAATTTCAATCAGTTTCTGCATTTAAATGGGTTTTGATTACATTTATAGCAAGAAGTGTAGGGTTTATTTACATAATATTTACTTAGTGAACATACATAATCACCCGCTTGCTAGTTTTTGCTACGGGTTTTCGGATCTCGTCAGGATTAGAGATGTCCCGATCCAGGTTTTTGCACTTCCGATCCGATACCGATATTGTTTTTGGACTTCCGATCGGATACCGATACTGGCCGATACCAGCCTATCCGAGCATGTATTTAAGTTTAAGTTAAAGTATTTAGCCTTAGTTGTAGGACTCATGTTGAAAAGGGTTTTAGTACTCTTGATAACATCTAGCCAGCTAAATTAGGTGAGATTGAATAAAACACAATGCTTGGTAACAACAAACTTACCTGTTTATTAAGAGATAAACACAAACTGGACAAAATTATGAATAGCAATCTGAAATTGCACAGTGAGCAGTAAAACCGTAAACAGTTAAAGGTGCAAGTATTACTGTAAGTTTTAATAAAAATGCAAAACAGGATCGTTTTAATCAGCGAAACTGGAAAATACGGACCGGATTTTTTTTTTAAAACTGGATCGGCAGTCTGGATCGGCATTTTACATGCTTTGCCGATACGCATTTTTTTGCCAATATCGGCATCCCGATCCGATACGTGGATCGGATCGGGACAAGCCTAGTCAGGATTATGTGAAATTGCAACGTTTTGGCTGCTACCCATCACCTAGCATTTAGCTGCCGCCCCAATTCAACATTGAATTCTTTGTGATTTAACTCCATCTGACGGATCAAACCCTCGCCACTGCGTGCGTTGCGTCTGAGGTTGATTTTCAGATCAATGCATTACGTCGTGGCATACGGGAGAAACTAATTAAACTAGTTAAAAAAAGGATCATGGGTTAAGATCGGATGTGTTTTATTTGGAAATCTACCGGATCCTTTGTGCATTTAACTTCCTGTTTGGTGCGATCTCATTGATGGATTTTGACCAGATTTTGACCAAAGAGGAACTCAAAAAAAAAAAAAAAAAAAACTATTTAAATACACAACCAGCATATCTGGAATCAGTTACAGAGAGCGACTGGGACCAGAAGTTTATTAATTTCTCCACATTGATTTCCATTCAAAATGTTTTCGCTCCCACCGGGCTCTAGGGAAGGGGCGTGCATACCGCCACCTACTGTTCATGAGTGTGTAGCAACATTGTTTTACATCTATTAAATTCTATTTTTTAATTTTGTATTCTGAAGATAAATAAATAATGCTTTCCTTAATCTATAAATATCTTTTATATTTCCTTTATTTCCCAATAATCCTTTAAGACTCCATTCTTGGCCTGTCCTTTCAACTCTTTTCAATTTCTTCCTTTCAGGTCCAGATGTTTTACAGTTCATCAATACGTGTTCTACATTTTCTATCTCTCCACATCCTTCACATTTATCATTATTTTTCCTCCCTATTAAGTATAAATTGTCATTTAAATAAGTATGACCTACTCTTAATCTGATCATTATTATTTCTTCCCTTCGGTTTCTCTCATTAATATTTCTATTTAATACTGACTTTTGTACTTTATATAACCTTCCTTTTTTATCTTCATTCCACCTTTTTTTTGCCATTTTTCAATTTCTTTCCTCTTAATAAATGATTTTCCTTCCCCTTTCCCTCGTCAGTACCACAAAAAAATGGCCATTAATGTACCTCCACTACGTTTTGCAGTGTGGACCAACGTAGTGGGGGTACATTTTCCCATGAGACTGGGTTGTCTAATCTAATATTTATGTCATAATCTAATCTAATATTTTTTATACATAAAGACGGTGTTGACATGTTATGGTTGTGACATTAGCAGTGTTGAAAGATATGAACAAATTAAAGAGAAAATAGAAAACTTACAGTTACTGTTATTTATTTCCAACAGAATTAGCACTTTTCTTAGTGGGTTTTTGCCAAAGTTTCAAGAATCAGTGATTTGTATAAACAGGCTAACACCGGTTTATATAGAAATTTGTAAATTTTCAATTATAATCGTTCCCGGATTAACATAAAATGATGGTTGGCTTTAAATCTCTTCAAACAGAGTCAGCACTGCTGGGAGTTCATAATGTAATTCTCTTGGCATGTGAGTTTTTGAGATTTTGTTTAATCAGACCTACCACTGCTTTTAAAACAGTTGATCACAACATCATATTGTTAGCGTTACAGAACCAAGTAGTAATCGATGGCACTGCTCTGGAGCGGTTTAGCTCCATCATGACAGGCAGAACGTTCTCAGTAAAAACCGCAGGTTTATTTCCTCCTCTGCTCCAGTGTCATGCGGTGGCTCAATTTGAAGACCTTTGCTCTTTTCTTTTTAACTTCTTCCTCTAGGGTTTAGTTTTATTCCATCTCTTTCCACTGCAATGCAGATGATTGCCAAATCTATGTGCCATTAAAGCCAATTTATGGCTGGCAGATTTTCCATCTGATGAGTCTGCCGTGTCTTTTGGAGTTAAAGGGCATAGGCAATGGAAAATCAACTTTAAAAAGCTTTTAAAACTGTTATAATCCAAAATCTTTTTGAAAATTATCTACAAAAATTTTTTTTTGCTTAATTTGTTCATCTCTCTGTAATCATAATAACTTCTGCTGTCTAAGAAGCAGCCCCTCCCTGTCATTTAAAATTCAATTTAGTTTATTTATATAGCGCCAATTCACTACACGTCATATCAAGGCACTTTATAGAGATAATTCAACCAGATCATGTAGTCAACGTGTTTTTTTTTATTTGAGAAAAATCAGCTGATTGCATTAACTCATTGATTTCAGCAATCCCTCACACCAAGCATGCTTGTAGTGAAAGTGGAGAGGAAAAACTCCCTTTTAACAGGAAGAAACCTCCAGCAGAACCAGGCTCAGTGTGAGCGGCCATCTGCAGAGGCCGACTGGGGTTCAAGGAGACAGAAGCAGAAATAAGATACAAAGGAACTGTCAACCAGTTCCATACTGGCTTGAAGGGCTAAAAAGAGGTTAATATAAGAATTTTAAAGTTTATTATCAGACTGCTACCTAACAAAGGAGGATTAAATGTCTGGTAGATGACAGACTAATTAAGGAAATTAGTTCTTTTGTTAGACAAAAAACAATTTTTATGTAATCTATCTATCAGTTTTACCCTTATCCTCTTACACCCTAAGGGGGTATAAATAAATTTCTGCCTGACAAAAACACACAAAAGTAAATAACTTATAGCCTCAAAGCTATTAGATTTAAGAAGAAACTTTTGGTACGTCTGTAAAGGTAAGATGTCATAGAATGGTTTTCTGGTGTCAGCACCATTGTAGCTTTGACCTTGCCTGAAATATTAGGGACAAAATACAAAATATTTTGCATTTTTTGAACCTCGCCAAAATTTTCTTTGAAATAAACATTGAAAAACACTACCAAAATATTATTTATAGCACAAAAAAGTAGTACAGACTTTCAAATCTAAATGTTGTGTAAAAATATACCAAATTTGGACTCAATCAGATGAAGCATATTTATTTTAGAATGGTATTAGTGAGAAATTTCTTATGCGGAGAGGCCATTGTGGCACATTTATCCATAAATGTCACCAAACTGTGTCAAATATGTTTTTTACATCAATACTGGGGGTTTGGTAAAAGTACGAGGTCACGTAGCAGCTGGGGTTAAAACATCTTTTACAAATAAAACTGCAGTTTCTCCTTTTGTATGAAGAAAAATTCAATACCTGCTCATTAGTGTAGTTCTGTGGCATATAACCATTCCTGAAGTATACCACTGCAACCTCCTTTCCATCCCTGAAATTAAAATGAAAATCCATTAGGCATGGAGTATGCATGTTCTCCCTGAGCAGGTGTGGGTTCTCTCCAGGTACTCCAGCTTCCTCCCACAGTCCAAAAACATGACTGTTAAGTTAATTGGCTTCTCTCACTTCTCCTTTAGGTCGAGTGTGTCTGAGAATGGCTGTTTGTCTCCGTTTTGCCCTGCGATGGACTGAGGACCTGTCCCGGGTGTTCCTCACCTCTCACCCGTAGACAGCTGGAGATAGGCACCAGCACCCCTTGCGATCCCAGCGAGGATTAAGCGTGACGAAAAAGTGTATGGATGGATGGATGGATATATATATATATATATATATATATATACACACGATGTAAAATATATAGATCTATATATACATACATTTAAATATTTGAAAACTTACACAAACAGCCTCTTGTCTAGATCAAGAGATCCTGTTTCAAGGACGTCATCAAACCGTTTTCTTACTGTGGGAATGTTTCTAAAACAGAAAAAAAAAAAGTTTTTAAACACCAATGTCAGTACAAACAATTGCTCTGTTTTAGTAGATTATGTTCATGCTATTTAGGATGGAAGCACTAAGAAAGACCCTAACACTGGTTATCTGGAATACTGGAATAAGCAGTTCCCCACTAAACCAGTGGGGGGCAGCAGTGACTATTGACAGCCTTAGCACTGGACGGGAAAGGGAAAGTTGTTGGTTTGTTAGCAGGATCCAATGAAAACTAATGAACAGATTTTAATGAAATGTTTTTACCAGAGATCTGTCTCATGCCAAGGAACGATTCGTTTAAATTTGGTAAAGATCCAGATCATGTGTGAGTTGTAAGTCACCATTCTGGACAAAATTTGCTGCTTGGTGGAGTTCTGCGCTCTCAGAGTGTTTTCTAGTATTGATTATGATTAACCATCACTTTCTTTGCAGCAGCCGCATCATTTTTGATGCTTTTAAGTTTCTTTTTTTTTTTTTTTTTTTTTTTTACAAATTTTACTTCTGTTGGTACAATATGAGCAATAAAACAAGTTAGATTCCTTATTTGTGACCCCGCCCATGAGAACCCGGCTAAAGTCGCAACGTCTAATTATTCAATAAAGGTCGTCAAAGCTGTGCTATATGAGATTATTGCTGTAAATGATAGATTAAGTACTGAGGTTTATGGATGGCTTGTTTAAAAGTCAATTTCTAACATGATAAATAGCGTATTTTGTGATTTTATAAACCTTACATCGTGTTGTTTTTGCTAAAAATCTCCGGAAGTTTGATGCATTCGCGCTGCTTTTTCTGTGATCTTTGGGATTACTTTATGTGTACAAACAACGGTTAAATTGGGTGTGGTTTGGTTTAGGCACTGCATTTCTATCGAAAGACTTGTGTTTTCTATCATTAAAAAGTGTACAAACTTTGAGATCAATGCGCATCTGTTACGATGTTTCATGAAGAGGAAGTCACTGTCTACTCCCTGCTTCCATTCCTCTGCTCGTGTTTTCCCCTGACCCCATCTTATGACTCTCCATGACTTGAGCAAAATGCAAAGTGACATTATGTGATACTATTAAATTACTACTACTACTACTACTACTACTACGACTACTACTGTTGCGGCGAACGCCCCTTTTGTTTACATCAGCTGTTTAAGCGTGAGCGCGCAGTTTACCTGTGTGCAATCAATCAGTCAATCAAAAGGTGAGACAAACTTCCTAGTTCAAGCAGAGGATTGCAGCATGAAAATAAAAAGCCCCCGTTTACTCGGGCAGTGGAAGAAGCTGTGCAAAATGTGTATTAAGGAAGCAAAGGACTGAACAGACAGCCGGTAAGCTTGCATTTCTGTTGCGAAAAGAATGTATGCGCCGCGCTGATGAGGCGTTGAGACGTGCGGGAAATGTTTGTTTGTAGTTTTAAGCTTATAAATACTCACACGGTACGTCATGAAAATTTTGGCTTGTAAGTCTTGCTTGCTTGCTTTATTTGGTTGGAAAAATGCTGGTGTAACTTTTTTTTTCAGTGATTTAACATTGCGGTTGAACAATCCAAATTAATGTGTTTGTTAAACTGTTGCACGGGATAGGCCTAATTTTTGCATCTTCCTTCTGTGTGTGATTAAAATAGACTTCTAACAGTTAAAATGAAATTTCATAGTCTATGTTATGCATATTTAAAACAAACTAAAAATCACTCACTGGTTATTTATTATTGCTATTTAAGAATTCATGTAATCTATGGAGTTAAATAACCTCCATAAATCTGCTTCGGTTAAAATGCGTTAATACGTTTTTTGATGCATTTTTTTATGATAATTAAAAACTAAATGGTCTTAATTTAAAGTTAAAAACATAGTCTATTTTCATAAATATATTTAATGTTGCATTTCTCAGAACTATTGACATGATTTGTTGTGTTATTTATGATTTGTGTTATGCAACTGCTTACATAATCAGCTTCATCTGGTACCACCTAGACATTCATTTAGTGTAATTTGTATGCTTTTTCGCCATGATCATCATACTAAATAGATCCATTTTTATTAAACATGAACATTTTTATAAACATCTGTTGGATATTACTTGAAAAAGCAGAATCTAAACTTGAATTTGGTGTATGACACACTGCCAGGATAATTGTGATTCCAAGATGCATCAGTGTTGAAAGTATTTTTAGTTTAGAATTTTGAGTTCCAAATCTTTACATTGGAATTTCTCAAAAGTCAGTTTTTCTGAACCCGTATGCAGCACAATCTTTGATATGGCCCTACTCTGTGAATTTTAGAGATATCAATCTGAATTTTTCAGAATACATTCTTAACATTGTGTAGAATGGTTTTATACATTAAGTTGAGATTCACCAAAAAATGACTTTAGCTGGGTTTTCATAGGCAGGGTCACATTTGTTCACCAATCTTGATGAAGCTGATTTTGATTATCACAAGGTCCCCACCACCCTTTGCAATCATTAGCATTTTGGCAACTAAAGACATACATCCACTATAAGCTTTAGAGGCAGTAATAATCTATGCAACAGACAGACATCTGTTTCATCAATAAACTTCCTTGTGAGGGCGATTCTGTTCACGTTTTAATTGCCATGATGACAGAGATCCCACATACTGTGCAGTACCAGTGTTGACCTTTCACAGAATAAAACTTCAAGCTAACCATTTCAGTGCGATTGTTTATATTAAAACAAGGTAAAGTAGAGATATTCATTCAAAGATAAAACATATCCCCAGTGGAGGCAGATCCTCCATGGGAAAGAGATAAGTTTAACTGGCAATGAGAACCGAGTGAGAAAGATGGTGTTGGATCTGTGCTTCTCTATGATCCTTACCTCTTCCAGAGTTCACTTTCAATGTAGCGGTGATCAAAAATGTTCCTCTGAACGTCCTCTACCAAGAACAAGACAACTGCCCTGAAATGACAAGAAACACTCATGCTACCATGCTCTCCTTCTTATAGGAAACATAACAAAGTATTCTTCCTTTTTTAATCCACTGGACTTACTGGACTGGTTTCCAAGTTTGAAGACGTTTCGCTTCCCATCCAGGAAACGTTTTCAATTCAAAATGTAAGAAATAGCATAGAGTTTGAGGCTTTATAGAGTGGACTTGAACCAAAGCCATGTTTTTGTTTAGAAAACATGCAAATTGAACCAGAAAAACAGGTGAATGGGGGTCGTTTGGCTTCTTTGTTAGCTTGCAATGCCCCATACCTGTCTATGGCCCCGTCCACACGAAGACGAACCCTGGCCTAAACGCACAATTTTTCACCAAACCAGCCTCTCATCCATACGAAGCCGGCGTTTCGGGGGTCTGTAAACGATCTTTTTTTCATTCAGCCTTCAGAGTGGGAAGATTTTGAAACGCCGTTTTCGCGTTTCCATCTTTAAGCTCTAACCGCATTTTTTTTTTACACGCATGCGTCATAGCGTCGCCTCTAAACACGCATGCGCGACACAGTATCACAACAACAATGGCGCCGTACTGTGTTGAATGGTTGCTGCTAATGCTACTCACCCTGCTGTCGGGCTTACAACAGAATCTTCTTCTTCTGGAATATCTCCAGGAAGAACAGAGCAATATCGACGACATAGTTCAGCACCTGAATTTGACTTAACCACGAAAATGGACCCGGGCAACCATGTATAAATATTAGTGCGCATGCCCAACATTTCGTCGCTTATTGTTGCTTTGGCACCACAGCACCACTTACAGGCCTGGCATACATTTTGCAGCGTTTTCATGCATTCGTGTGGACGATCACATTTATTTTTAGTCTCCGTCTTTACGACAAACGTTATGGAAAATATTAGCGTTTCGTGTTCGTTTTGACTTCGTGTGGACGGGGCCTATGTCTCTGAACGCGGGGTCGTTAAAGGGAATTGCTGGCCTAGCTGAACAGGCAAGGTCTTCTGTTCCCCTGTAAGTGGGTGGGGGTTGTGATGATATCTGACATTTTGAATTAAAAAAGCTTCCTGGATGGGAAGCGAAACGTCTTCAAACTTGGAAACAAAATCCAGTGGATTGTTTTTTTTTTACCTTTCTAGAATGACTGTGAACTAGATGACTGAGAATCTTCACCAGCATATCTTTCCTTTTTTTTTTTTTATTCGTGTTATTTAGGGAGATGATTCATCAAGGTGTTTGTGAGTTCATTTCAGTGAAAACACACAAAAAACTGCAGTTCAAAAAAAGGAACATACCATTGTTTTTTTAGTGTTTCTTTTTAAATAAAATGCTTTTATGTTTTTGTTTTATGTTTAAGCATGCTTTAATGTTACAATAATTTAACTCCAAACCAAACATAATTCTGCTGAGGATTTGGTGCATCTACTTTGTGTTCCTACAGAACAAATATCTCAAGCACACATAGGAGCTGGTTTAGAAATGAATGAAGCGGCGTAATCACCAGCTTCCCAGCACTGACCTCAAATGGCTGGACTGAGTCAGCAGAGAGGAGTTTAGTGGATACATTAAGTAGCTGGGCCAGCCAGACTGATACTGCATACAGATGATGTATTAATCTGGTAAAGAGCTGTTAGATTGCAACGGCAAAGGCAGGTCTAACAGATCAGATAACTACAGCAAAATCTCATTAGTTAAAAAGTTAAGCGCTCTTTTTTTTTTCTTCAAATTTTAAAAACATTTTTCAAGAAATTCTCTAGTGAATAATTTCTTCCCTTTCTTAAAAGAAATCTGAGATTATAAGGTTAGCTCTCAATTATGCTCTTCATTTTATTGCACCGTTGCTATATTTCGGTTGCAAGCTTGCAAGTCATTATTCTAGCAGAAAAGTGCTGCTGCATTATGGGTAATTCTGGTGCTGAGAATCGGGCAACACAAGTCCCACCACCGGCTGTGTTTGGGCTCAACATGAGGCACTATAATGGAAAATCAGAACAAAGAAATGCAGGTTTTATGTCTGCTGTCAGACATAGGAACAGAAAGAAGATTAGAACATAATAAACACTTTTTCAGAGGTAACAAGCATTAAGAATAAGGAACCAAAAGCAGAGTTCAAATTGGTGAAAGAGTTGGACTCTGATGCAGGTAAACAATTTACTGCACCAACGAAAGGGAAAGCTCTGACAAAGTTTAGATAGATTTAACAATGCAGACTATAGGATCTGGATGATGATAATACAGCAAAACAGGCAGAGCAAGTTTCTTAATATTAGCATCTCCATGATTATACTAACAAATGGCGATTGATGGAAGACTCAGCAACCAGGTATTTAAAGGAGTCACATACAGGGCATTATGGGTTGCTTTGCTTTTGCAATTAAAATTAAGTCATCCATTGAAAAGATTTTGTAAATTATAGGGTTAATAGTTGCTAATCAAATCTGTGGGCGTCTACCCTTTAACAATGTTTCTAAAGAGTCAGGCGTTAGAGGTCATCATGCCGCTTAAGGAAGTATAAATCAATAAAGGCTTTAGTTTTCGAGACACCCCTACCTGTGGTAGAACAAAACCTAAGAATAATTTTTCCTAATGGTCTAATGGATTCTAATGGTTTACTGCAAACATTATGCAGTAAACAGAAGTTTAAATTGCAATTCAATTCAACAGTAGAGCTTTACATAAAGCATTGTCCCTCAGTGAAACGTTTCTATCCAACATGCAACATTTAGTGCAACTAAAACATATGTGGGGCTCCTTTTTCTCCTTAAGCCATTTACAAATTATCCATGATGCGACCTACTTTACCAGTGGGACGCTGATATTAGTGGCAGCAACAATGAGATGGTTTAAAAGCTTGAAGACTCCAGTGGACAAACACTTGTGATTGTACTTTAGTGTGAGATTTACAGCAAAAATTATTTAAAAAAAAAAGTTTGAGCTCCGGATTTTAGAATGTTTAAAAAAAAAAAAACATTTTTATTAAATGAGGAATTTGTTTGACCCATTCAAATATATATAATCAATTCATTGAAATTATTGCGTTAAAGTCCTGGCCCAAAAATTCCAAATCAAAGGCCAAAGAGAACATGAACTCATATTAGTGATGTATGCTGGTGAAGATTCCCAGTCATCCAGGTCATAGTCATTCCAAAAAAAGAAAAAAAAAAGCAATCCACTGGACGTTGTTTTCCAAGTTTGAAGACGTTTAGACGATAGCGTTGAGTTTGAAGCTTTATATACTAGCCCAAAAACTGTTTTTGGCTTAGAAAACATGCAAATTAATCCATAAATGTAGATGTAGAGGAAACCTATGTTAGATTTATTCTTTAACTACCTCTCTGATCCATACAGCTCCCAGGCTTTGGCGAGTCCCCTGGCCAAACCAGCGGCAGGGTTGTTGTCTAGGATTCGCTGGCTCTCCTCTGGTCTACCAGCCACCTTCAGGACATGTCTGTGAGGCCAGAGCACCTTTAATAGACCTTATACTTTGGTTCTGTCTTCTTTTCCATGTTCAAACAGTCATTAAACCACCAACACTATTAAACTTTGCTGACAAATTTGAATAAATGACATAATACATTTCGAAAAAATATAATAATCAAGAATTTAATTTCTGTCACTTAATTTAACTTTTTTTATATGCACTAATATTTCTTTTTTACGAGTGTTTAAATCTGTGGGATGTGTTGCTGATAGACTCACTTGTGTACTTGAGGTGTGCGTGAGGAGAGGCCCCCAAAGCTTGCAGCAATCGTGTTGATCTCTATCTGCTTCAGAGAAGACGTGCCGTCCTCTCTCTGGTCCAACATGTAGTCGGAACGATTAAGACCCAGAACAACAGACTGAAATCAAAAAAGGAGAAAAGAAAGAGAAGCCAAAAGATGAAAGAACTGACTGAGTTTAACTTAAAAACTTTCAGCACAAACCTAGATCTTTACATTATTTTATAAGAACTTCTTTGAAACACCAAACATAATTCACAGACCTACCGTGCTTAATTGTACTGTTGACATAATTCAACTGGCAACCTATATTCCTAAAATCTTCAGAGAAAACTGAACTGAGTAAATAAAACGCTTCAAACATGTAAATCTAGGTAGACCTCCTGTTAGCTCTATTTCTCCCCGCAAGCAAGAATCTTATCTGATCAATAATTTAACGCCAGAGACTTTATAAATTATCAAAGCAGACAGAAATAAATTTCAACAGGTTTTTAAACACATCAATGCAACAAAGAACCTGTAAACATGCCTCATTGGCTGAAAAGTTACTATAAATATTCTTAATCATTCAACTTTTAACTTGATGTTTTAAAAACAAAAACACCCTGTTTTAATTCCAGCGTTAATTATAACCAAGCGTTTTTTATGCATTGCTTAACTAAATTAAGGCTGGAGAATATGGTTTGATTAATAATCCCTGATTTTCATTTTGTTTCCCTTCCTTTCTTTTCATAAAAAAATAACTAATTTGAAATTACAGCACAATTAATTTTAAAGTTTTGCTTTATTCTTATTAATCATCCCCTCTGGGAGCAAACTTGAACTTAAAGTGAAACAAATTAAAAGCTGTAAAACATGTTTTTAAGTCAGGTTGGCAGGCTCTGCCATTGCAAGCAGCTAGTGGTTTGACACAATCAGCTTGTTTATCAAATATGAGTATATAAGAGCAAACAGTGGTGGCCTCAGATCACTGCAGCAAGGGTGACGAACAAAATTGAGATTTTCTAAAACATGTAATCTTCATAAACAACAAATTAGAATAATATATAAGTTGAATATATTTCCTAAGCCTAACGGAAAAGTTATCAAAGGTTTTGGTTTAAAGTTTTCTAAGGAAAACCAGCTGATTGCATCGACTCCTTGACTGGAAAGGAACCCCTCATATCATATGATATCAATTTCTGGGTCACATCCTGACTAATGATGACCCTTTTGTTTTTGTCTTGGTTTGCTTCTCCATTTAAGTTTGGAAAATTGTCCAAAGGATCTCAATGGAGGATCCAAATATGATCGTTTGACCCAAAATCTGAAAACATTGTGCAACATCACTTCTTACACTGAAGCTATGATAAAAATCTAGAAGCTGTATGAATGTAAGCAAATGAATCTTCCTCACATCAACCCACCTGGGACCTTCCTTCTTTGAGGATTTGCTGGTGGATCTTGAACAACCTTGCAGTGAAATCATCCACTTCAATAGTGCTGTAAAATTCAGGACCAGCTTTAAAAACATCACAATCCTGACGAATAGTCTTTTTGATTCCAGTCTATCATAATATCAAATAAAAAACAGAAACAAAAAAATGTTTAATGGCTCCGACCTGGCTAAAGCCTTTTGCAGGAACTCTGTGTCCTGGCTTATCTTGTCCACCATTGTGTTGAAGTGAGTCTGCACTGCAAGAGCCTGGATGAACACGGATTTGGGCATGGGCGAGGGGAAGAGGGTGAATGGAGCATATGTAACCAACTGCAGGGGAAGAAAAATGTATGAAAAACTATCAGCAGGTCTTTCAGGAGATGACTGAGAAGAAAAACTCCATTGGTGCTAAAATAACAACTTTGTTATTTTAAACAGGATTAAAACTGAGCCATCTTAAATCCCGACTCGTAAAGCAAAGCAAAGCAAATTCCTGACATGATTGCACTTCTAATTCATAAACAGTACATGCAGACAGACTCCTACTGAACATTTCCAGTTTCCAAGGCTACGAGTTTTAAGTCACTGATGGCATACTTTTTGCACTCTATGTTTCACAATTCTCTTGCATGAAGATTCAGTGTTTATACATTTAAATATCCAAAGCAAGGGGAGCCTTTTCAAGCTACATCGATATCAACAGCCTAAAAACATAGTCTTTGAATTTCAGGGCAGCAAAAAACCAAAAAACAAACATGTTTAAAAAAGTGCACCTCAGATGAGTTTGGAGTTTCCTTGGTTCTCATTAATACTCCCTGCAGAAGTGCTTCATCTTTTGCCACGTCTGCTAATTCTTTGATCAGAGTAGAGTTCATCATCAGCTCATCTGGGACACTGGAGGCCATTCTGGTAAAAAAATAAGACATTAGAAAAAGCCAAAAGATTTATACAAGCCACTAAATGTTGGTATAGCTGAATTTGCAAGTAAAGTATCATATTTAAGTGACAAAATACACAAGCTATGAAATTTTCCATAATTAAGTTTGTAGAGAAGAATGTAACTAAATGTTTAAAAAGAAATAAAATGATAATCATTCCTATACTTTTTTAGATGCTTTCAATGTTTAAAAACAGTCAAAAGAACATAACAGTGTTTTAGGTTAACCGGATTTATCAAAGTAAGCTCTGGTTCTGCTTTAGTTTTAAATGGCAATACTTATTTACAGAGCTAGAAGAAACGATTATGAATAATTATTCAACAAAAGTGTGAAGTGTAAGATGCCATAGTAAAGTAATGTTCTTGTACTATTTAATTACACTGTGTGCAGAATTATTAGGCAAATGAGTATTTCGACCACATCATCCTTTTCATACACGTTGTCCTACTCCAAGCTTTATAGGATTGAAAGCCAACTTCCAATTAAGTAAATCAGGTCTTATGGATCTCTGTAATGAGAAGGGGTGTGGCCTAATGACATAAACATCCTATATAAGGTGTGCTTAAACCTTGACAGTTTTCGCAAGAGAAGAGGGGCTTGGGTGCATGGCGAGTAAGTAGCGAGGAAACAGGAAGAAATTCTTGGGGGTTCGAAGAGGGAAATAGTGACAAAGAAGAAGACTGGAAGAGAGTAGTGTCAACAAATGAGAAAAAAAAAATGGAAAAACCAGAAATCAGTTGAAGGGGAGTCCAGTTCAGAACTGTCAAACGAAAGGATAGCTACTCTATTCTTTCGTTGCCTTGCATCTGTATTTGCTGTGATCAGTGGGAATAAAGTAGTTTTAATATGTTTTTAAGTGAGAAAAACCACCTGAAATAATATTATTTCTGTCGGAGCTGCTCAGACCCCCACATACCGGCGGTGCGCTGTATGGAAGGCCCCATTCAGCAGCAGCCTCTGGCCGGGTCGCCTCCTCACGGTTCACCGCGGCGGCTGGTAGGTGTTTTTCATCTAAATAATCTAAACTGCAGGCACCAGGATAATAAAAGCGAACATATTCTGCCGGCAGGTTTCAGCATTTTAAGTTAATTTAGGCGTTAATAAACTGTTTCAGAGGAGTGATCACAGCGCTCTGTGTCATCAGCGATGTGTCTGTCTCAAGGCCAGCTCCCAGATTAGCTTCTCTGATTGGTTGACGCGGCGCGTCGAGCAGCAAAAGTTACATTTTTCCATCTCGAGCAGCAGCGCGTTTGCGGCGCATCAGATGCTTAAACGCTCCCGATGCGCTGCGCCTGCTGCTCAAAACGCACTGCGGGACGTTTTGCTGCGCCTTGACACGCGTCAACCATTGACTTTGCATGTAAACGCGGTGCTTCTGTCGCGCCTGCTGCGTCCGGTGTGAACGCAGCATTAGCCACCAGATGTGCCATATTTCAAAGCTGCATAAGGTGCTCATTACTCAGTACCTGGCCAAGGTAAGGAAAGCGGAAAAAAGGCCACCTTTGAACAAAATGTCAATATTGGGCCAAGAAATATCTGAAGACTGATTTCTTCAAGGTGTTTTGGTCTGATGAAATAAGAGTGAGTCTTGATGGGCCAGATGGATGGCCACAAGGCTGGATCAGTAAAAGGCAGCAAGTTCCTTATAGACTCAGACACCAGCAAGGTGGAGGTGGGGTACTGGTATGGGCTGTTATCATCAAAGATGAGCTGGTGGGACCTTTTCGGGTTGATGATGGAGTCAAGATCAACTCCCAGACCTACTGCCAGTTTCTGGAAGACACCTTCTTCAAACAGTGGTAGAAGATTCAGTCAAGAAAAACCTGATATTCATGCCGAACAATGCTCTGTCAAACGCATCAAAATACACCACAGCGTGGCTGGCCAGAAAAAGTCTAAAAGGGGGAAAAAATGACATGGCCCCCTTGTTCACCTGATCTGAACCCCATGGAGAACCTGTGGTCCTTGAAATGTGAGATCTACATGGAGGGGAAACAGTACAGCTCTCTGAACAGTGTCTGGGAGGCCGTGATGGCTGCTTCACGCAATGTGGATCGCAAACAGATCAACGGACAGAATCTATGGATGGAAGGAGTGTCATGGTGAAGAAAGGTGGCTGTATTGGTCACAATTTTTTTTTTTTTTTTTGAATGTCTATTGAAATGTTTAGTTCTGAAATTTGAGTTTTTATATTAAGGAGTCTTTGGGTTGATAGAGAACACAATTGTGGCCCAATAATAAAAATTATCCCTAAAAATACAACTTGCCAAATACTTCTGCTCACAGTGTACACACCCCCCAACTGTTAGCACACACAAAATCAAATTAGACTGATTCTATCAGATAAGTGATTATAGATCTCTCAGCTTACAGCCTGAAACAAAAACAAAACAACGCATTGATAAAGATAAATGTCTGATTCCTTAAAGACAGCATCAAAATAACTAAAACAACAAACAATATATTAAAAAAAATATATTACCATCTCCTTGCTATCACTAGAACGCAATTAGCAGAGGTAGAACAAAACGACAAGGTAATAATAAAAAAAAAATCCATATGACACCTTCATATTTATAAATCATTAAATCCTAGCTACTGTAGAACGGGTCTGTGATGGGTGGTTCTTGTAGCTCATAGCCTCCTACCTTAGCTAGCTATAGCTAGAGTGTTTACGCGTTAAACACAAAAAGTAGAGCCTGTATCAGGGTACAGGGACCGTGTCTTTAGTTGCTTTCAAAATGTTAAACCTGCATAAAAAACACGACTCTGAAATACAGGATCCGCCAAATAGCGTAACGGGTTGCTGTAGAGCGACAGGTTGTTACATGGGAAATGTATTCACAAATTACATTTAAACACATCACACGTCGCCTCTGAGATTTCTTAGATTTCAGAGCAATAGCTAAACCAAATGTTTACTTACTTCAGTATTTAAGTTCAATGCATGGAAGTTCTTTGAAATGAATGCAGACAGCAAGATGGAGCAAAATGCATGTTTCATCTGATTCGTTGGATAGCTTAACGCTGCATTCAATGTACCTCGGATTATTGAAAGTATTCCGAAGTAAAGTATTCTAGATCTTTGCTCTTGTTACTTCGTGTCCTTTTTACGTTAGGTAACCAAAGGCCAAGGATATATATGTGGTTAGTAAAGATACAGAGTAGTTATAAAATACCAAAAATACGTATAATAATATAACAGTCTTACAATAAATTTTCATATACCTTTAAAGAATAAACGATTTTTACAATCTCCTTCGAATGCATCAGCCAAAGGTGATTGGTTAAAGTAAAACCTTTCAACCAATCACAAGTCTTGACGTAACGAACGTAGTATAAAGTGCAAAGTATGGCTGAATATTGCTGACGAAAGATGAAATAGCAGTTTCGTTTGTATGACAAGAAGAAAGTCGGCTAAGCGTGACGAAGGTGACTCATATGTGTTGATGTGTTATCTGATCTTGTAGATACATTGTTTTAAAATTAAGTATTCGCTTACATTAGAGGTACTAAATTCTGACTTTACATTTGACTGAGATTTTCCTTATTTACCTTATGAAGTAACAATACTACTTGTACTTGCTCAATCTGACAGTAATGACACGAACAATTTTTTAAAGAAATGAAAAGAAATGGTCTTTGAGTGGCCATAAGAAATACTCTCAAAGAGATTTTTAAATGAGCTGAAGAGGAATGTTTGAGCTAGGTAGCCAAAAACATGACATGACAGAAGACAATAGCCCAGAATCCCAGTAAACTGTTGTGAGGATCATTGAAATGTTTTGTTCAAACTATACAGTGTAAAAAACAATTAAATCAAATATTAAGGAGATTTGTGGCGACATCCAAATTACTAAAAGTCATCTTTTTCAGTTAAGTTGATCCTGATGTTTCATTAGTAAACAAGAAAAATTGTTATAATGCCTTTTACAGTGTTTGAAAACATTTGGTTTTATCTATTGATGCAGCTAAAAACAGGGTGTTTCGTTGACCTGGGATTACTGAGGTCTTCAGTGATTTTATCTGACAAAATACCTGTTTTTAAAGCCTTTTTAGCATACTGTTTAAAGCCGAATATTGCAATATGTACTCTCCACTGTGTAAACATCTAGAGACATTTGATTTAACCCATAAATATCAAAGCAACAGTTTATGAAAAACGTTTGAAAAGTAATTAATATCAGTAATGGTTCCTAGAATTTCTCAAATTAGAATGGGAGGCAGATCTTTTAGTTATCAGGCTCCTCTCCTGTGCAAAAAACTTATAGTTTTAGCCTGTGAAGCAGAGACCCTGTCTACTTTTAAGAGTAGGCTTAAAACTTTCCTTGTTGATAAAGCTTATAGTTAAAATGGTTCAGGTTTCCCTGAGGTATCTCTAAAATTATGCTACTATAGGCTTAGACTGCTGGAAGACATAGGGACCCCTTTTCATCATTCTGCTTTATTCTCTCATTATTTTCCCATTCTGCAATATTTGTTAGTTTAATTTCTAAGTCTGCCATCAACACCTTTGTTTATAGACATTGGAGCTTGGCTTGTTTTTCAGGGTTGTTCTGTTTCTCTAACTGGGACTGGCTGGATGTTATCTCTGTGATCCTCTTGACATGGGAGCTGTCTCAGAGCTTTTTTACCTGGCTGTGTGCTTCCTGGAAGGCGCTTCCTCTGGAGCTGGTTGACTGTTATCTTTTATAGCTCTGCTTCTTTCTGTGCCTGTGCTTCTGTCTCCTTGAACCCCAGTCAGCCTTGGCAGATGGCCGCTCACACTGAGCCTGGTTTTGCTTCTTCTTCTTCTTCTTCTTGTGAGATTTTATGGTAGTTGGCAACTAGTTAAAAGTGCATTACCGCTACCAACTGATAAGTTAAGCAAGGAAACAGGAAACGACTCACAGCCAGAACAAAAAAAAGAATAATCATAATAATAATTTCCAAACTGTTTAACTGAACCCAATTTAATAAATAATTAAATTTGACCTCATAATTTCTAATTTATCTTTAGGTCTTCATCACTCTGCCAGTTTCTGATGGTCCTACTGGTTTTCCTATCATGCCTTCCACCATTTTCCAGTTTAAATCTTTAACTTCTAGATACTTTTCTTGAGCTTTAACTATTATTTTGATTTTTTTTTTTCAGTTTTTCTCATTGTCTGTGCACTACAATTGATCATTCAACCATGAAAAGAACAAAATCTTTCTTTTTCACAATCAGTGAATCTTAAATTTTGGGACATTTCTCCAGAGGTTTTGAATTTGCCATGTGCTGGGATGGGATCCTTTTTGCAGCTTCGGCATAAGTTATTCAGAGCTCAAATATTTTAAATTTCTTCAGATCTTTTACTCACTTCACAGCCATGATATGCAGCATGTTCTCCACCACAGTTACAGCATTTGATCTTAGCTTCTTTCCCATATTTTCTGTATTCTTGCTCTCGAGCACACCTTCCACATCACTGTTTTCCTTTGCATACTGCTGCTATATGTCCAAATTTTTGGCATTTGAAGCATCTCAGAGGCGGAGGATTGTAAATTTTGACATTGTAACTCATGTGTCCAATGAAAACCTTGCTGGGTAACTGCTCTCCTTCAAATCTAATTAACACAGACAAGCTTTCACACCTTTCTCCATTTCTCTTAGTTTTTAACCGTTTCACTTCTTTACTTTTGCACCACTTATGTTTTCTAGAATCTCTTTTTCAGAAACTTTTAGAGGAACTCCTCCAATGACTCCCCTCATAATCTTTTTGTTTTCCACCGAGCTGCACTAAACTCTTTTCCCCTCAATCTGGTTAATTCGTATTGCTTTGCTTTGTTGAGCGCTGTCTCTGCAGTTGATTAATACGTCTCCACTATACAGGATTTTGGCACTTTGTACTTCTCCTACGAGTTTATTTATCAATTTTGTTAATTGAACCGGATTCCAATCTGAAAAAGAGTCTTTTTGATTGACTAGTTTGAATATGACTTTGTACTCATTTTGTTTTCCTGTTGAATTTCTCGATTGTTCATCACTTGACTGTTATGAACTAGACCCCCCTTCAGTTAATCTCTGCTTTTTCCCCTTTTTTTTCATTTTATGACGCTACTCTCACCCAATCTTCTTCGTTTTCACTATTTCCCTCTTCCATCCCAAAAGAATCGCTTTCTGTTTCATCGCTACTCACTGCCCAGGACATTTCTCCACAAACGACTTAAACACACGCCATCTGAACATGCAACCTCTCCGAGCATCCCACTGTTCCAATCGCAGCCTGGTTCTGCTGGAGGTTTCTTCTTGTTAAAAGGGAGTTTTCCCCTCCACTCCCCTACAAGCATTCTTGGTGTGAGGGATTGCTTTCGAGTCAGTGAGTTGATGCAATCAGCTGGTTTTCCTTAGATAGAAAACTTTGAACCAGACCAACTGTATGATCTGGTAAATTGTCTCTGTCAAGTGCCTTGACATGTATTGTAAATTGATACTATATAGATAAACTGATTTGAATTAGAATTGAATAGATCTTTGAGGATGAGGGTTTTGGTAGATTTAAAATATTAAGCTGTATTGAAAGTAAACAGAAATGATAACTGCATAGTGTGTAATCACACTATGATTAGGGGGGCTAGGCAATGCTAGACAGTTGCCTAGGGTCCCAAGTTTCTGTGGGTCCCATAAAACTCTGTTAATACAACTATTCCTTACTTGTGCACATATGTTTTTGATAAAAAAATCCTTGCCATAAGAATGCTTATAATAAGTGTGTCTCAGCCCCCCCCTTCAGTGTCCACCATATTGGATCAGTCCATTTGCTACACATGTTGCTATATTTAGCGACTTTTTAGACCCTTCTGGCACTTTTATTTTTAAAAAAGCACCTAGTGCCAAATCTAGTGACTTTATTTCTGCTAGTGGAGACTTTGGTGACAACATATAAAAGCACCGAACTCTGCTCTCCAGAGCAAGTAGATTGGTAACCCCGCCTCCTGCTCTCCTCTATTGTCTGCTGTCATAATTCATGCAGCTATTATTTCATCCAAATGAAAAATGGAAAACAGATGAGCAGATCATGGTTTGTCTGCAGTGAAGAGAAGGACTGGGTTATTTACTTTTGCAGTTGCCTTTTTGGGAACACAGGAAGGAGCAATCAGCTAAGTGAGCTTAGTGATTGGAAAAAATCTTTCATTTCTTTTGAGACAGCATGAAAAGTCAGCTGAGTACAAAACATAGAGAGGAAAACAACAAGAAAAGGGACAAAAAGAGAGTGATAAAAAAAGAGAACAAATAATGTATGTCTATTCAATTAAAATGCCTGAATCCGTATCATGGGTCAGTTTTATGTGTTGTCTTGCCCCATACCTGTTTTTGCCTAGGGCCCCAAATTTCTTAAATCTGCCCCTGACAGAGATAATATAGTCACATTTATTCAGCAATAACATTTACAAAAGCAAAACTATTGAATTCTAAATGTAATTTCAGAAATTTTTGAACCTAGCTGCTCCAGACAGATAGAGGGAGCCAAAATGTTTATTATCAAGTGAGCGTGATCTTCCTGTAGACTTCCTCCGTTTTATAACTCCTCTTGAATCCAGACCTTTCTCCAGGCTATTCTTCTGGTTCTAGTCAAGACTCTTGGGACAGCATATGAACAGGGGAGAACAGATACAAAGATGAAGTGCACTTGCATTATTTATTAAGAATTTGGCTTTAATATGATGATCAGGAGTCACTGAACTGTGATTGCATGTGATATTTTGTTTCTATTTCCTGGGTCTGCTTGTAGATGGCGAGTGGACAGCTGTCCAGGGACGAAGCGCTGGAATGCTCTCAGTGCAGGCATGCATGCCACGTGATGCTCTACTCTAACACAGCATCTAAGCTGTTTGGCAAAATTCCAATCAGGCACATTGTACTGGTGAGTTTGGTTGGTGACTTTCCACATCCACAGAGGTTTATTAAACAGCCTGGTGCCTGATTCAAAGTCTCATAGACAAAATCATCACCTTGTTTTGTGTAGAAAGTCCCTACATATCTATGTGTTTCTTCATCTTGACATATGATTGTGCCCGTATTTAACAGCCCCTGTCCACCTGAACAGATGCAGATGCGTTTTGACGGTCTCTTGGGCTTCCCTGGTGGGTGAGTTTTTTATTTATTTATTTTTTTTATTTTAGCAAGTTCTCCAACCTTTACTCATATCCATTTGCATGCATCTGAACCCCCTGAATAAAACCCTGCAACACCACTCACCAATTTTCTGAATCATATAAATCTGTTTTGAAAGAGGTCAAGCTGGGAAAGACTTGGTTCTATCATCTGAAAATAATAAGGTTAAGCCAGATTAGGGAAAAACTATAGATCTCGATCCACAGCTAAGCTTGAAGAATATGTTGACTAGACAACTATCCATCCAACACGCCACAAATATTTTCTTTGTGGAAAGCCTGGGAAGAATAAAGGCATTTTTTAAAAGAACACATTACAAAGTCTGGTGTGTTTATTTCCCCACAAGGCTTGAAAAGTACACAGTAAATGCATAGAAGGTGATCTGATTATAAAGATGTTAACTGAACTTTTTAGCCTAATTGTAAAATACTGTTTCGGACATTCCTATGCTTTGCTTGAAATTATGAAAAGATGAAAGGAACTTGTTCCAAAGGAAATCTGACGTTAAAAACCTGTTAGAAGGTAGAAAGCAAAATAATTGCGGCCCTTTTTTTAGTAAATGCAATAAGTGGGCGTGTTGAGGTTGATTTATAAAGTTTGCTGGACAAATATTAAGACTTGTGAGCCAGTTTTGTTCCACTCATTAAAATAAGCAGATTAAGCTCTCTACTCACAGTTTTAGAGGGTGTCCTTAAAGAAAGATACCCAAAGTTGGCACTCAAGGGTCTCTGTCCTGCACAGTTTTGAGGCTTCTCTGTTTCAGCACAGATGATTTCCGTTGTTTGCTGGTTATAGGCTGCTGCTGAGCTGTAATCATCAGAACTGGGTGTACTAAAGTAAGGAAACCTCTAAAACGTGCAGGAGGGTAGCCCTCGAAGGCCAACTTTGGACATACCTTGTCTAAGCCATGTTCATGGAGTTCATAAAGCTAAGTTATTTTAAAAATACTAACTTTTCTATTGAATTATATTTATATAGCACTTAAAAGCTAGCCTATATGTTAGTACTATGAACAAAACTAAAAAAAAATGATAAAAAAAAACTAAATATGAATGGAACTTAAGACTTAACTTAATAATGGAAAAACATAAATATAAACAACATATCAACCAGTGGCCTTTGTCTATTGGTTCCCACCTCCCCCAAGGTTTCTAAGTCTGAAAAGTTTTACAAAAATGTAAAACGTAACCATCCTTTGTCCACAGTTCTGTTTTATTAAATAGAGAGAGAGAAAAAAAATCCCTCTTATGACAAGTAAAAGATGCACAATTTTAAAAACTGTGGCAACAGTTGAGCTTCTGATTTGGAAAGTGTCTTTGCTCTGTGATGTTTACATTTATAGTTTTCCATCCATGAATAAAAACCATTTAAATAAATTCAGTTTTTTCATATGACGCCAATTAACAACGCTTGTCATCTCAAGGCACTTTAAAGAGACAATTGAACCAGATCATAGAGTCACATTCTATCTAAGCTGATTGCATCGACTCATTGACTCTTAAGCAATTCCTCACACTAAGCATGCTTGTAGGGATAGTGGAGAGGAAATCTCCCTTTTAACAGGAAGAAAACTCCAGCAGAACGAGGCTCAGTGTGAGCGGCCATCTGCTGAGGCCGACTGGGGTTCAAGGAGACAGAAGCAGATGTAGAAAAAAAAGCAGAGATACAAAAGGCAAATGTCAATCAGCTCCACAGACGGCCCTGTCCATGAAACATGCACAGAAAATACAAAAAACACACAGTCAGACCGACAAGCTCTGAGCCAGCTTCCATGTCAGAGGATGAAAGCTAGTTTTGTCAATTGACTTTTAGTTTGATGAAGAACGACACAGAAAAAAAGTTTTGTACAGAATAGAATTTACTTCTTTCTTCTCACTTTCTTTGAAGATCCGTACTGTGACTACAAACATGTTTGGACGTGTTTTAAGACGTGCAAATCTTCTGTAGATAAGGCCCCTTCAGCCATAGAAGGAGGACCTGTAAATTATATGAAAACATGTAAGATGATTCCCTTTAAACAAAGAGGCTCTTAATATAGCTTGTTTTAACAAATTGTTTTTATCAAACTGATTAGCATTATCATTCTGCTAGATATGAATCACTTGTGCCTTTTTATCTATGAATTACACAAGTCTCTGCCAGAATAGCTGGCGCATCATTCACCAACATTATGTAACACTATGAGGAAAATGAGATGTGCACAAGATAAATGAAAAACACTAATTTTAGGTATTTTTCAGCAATTAAAAAGTTGTTTAAACCCAACCATGCATCTCCTATCTTTGCAACAAAATTAAAATACATCTTTTTATCTGTTCGTCCATCCATCCATCAACCATCCATCCATCTTTACCCACTTAATAGGTCAGGGTGGGGAGGGGGTGTGATCTCCAGCATTCTATGGGCAAATGCAGGGTACACCCTCAATAGGTCAATCCACAAAATTGAAATCTCAAATAATACAAAACTTATGGACTTTAACGTCTAATTTTGAGCTCAAATTTATATTCTGTATAAACAGAATAATAGTACATACTTTAATTTTGAATTTTCTTTAACTCTACACTCTCCATGAATTATAATTACCCAAGGAAGGACATTAAAAGAAACAGGAAGTGTGCCGGATGCCATTTGGGCCATACTTATTTTAGCCAATATTACATTTACCGTCTAATTTTGAGCTCAAATTCATTTTCTGTATAAACAGAATAATAGTACATACTTTAATTTTGAATTTTCTTTAACTCTACACTCCCCATGAATTATAATAACCCAAGGAAGGACATTAAAAGAAACAGGAAGTGTGCTAGATGCTATTTGGGTCATACTTATTTTAGCCAATATTACATTTATTTTTCTTACACTTGTATACATATTTCTGTTGAAATCATATTTCGTCACATACTTGTGTTTTAATCTTTTTTTTTATTAACCTACCAAAAACCTGCATTATATTGTACTAAAGTTTGAAGTATGTTAATAACCAAACATTATATACTAAGTAAATGAAAATATAAAATTATGAACAATGTGAAAGGTGATCCATAAGATTACCTATCACTTGAAGTTGTCTGTGAATGGAGGGTTTTGAGGCCGTCTAAATCCACACAGGGGAGGCTTGGAAAAGCTAAAAATGTCCAAACTCCTGTTGGACTTGTAACGCATTGAAATATATTTGCAAAAAAAATACTCCAAAAAATGTCTGTGTTTTTCTACATTCTCCTTTTAAAAGATATATTTCAGGAACGTTCATTCCCATATGATTTTAGTTGGTGTTGACACTATTTAAAAAAACAGAAATTTATTGAAATTACATTTAAAACAAACAATAAAACAGTAAAAGCTTAATTGTAACGATCACAATTTTTAATCTGTATGTCAATTGCACCTTATTTGATCCACATATATTGTTTTTTATAACCTCCCCTCTTCAGAGTAAACTGTTGATCTTCATTTATGATTATGCTGATGAGGCACAGCTGTTTATTTATCCATCCTATCCCAACAAAGTCCTCTAATCAAGGCATTAGCTGCTACATGCTGTCTAAAAGACTGCATTTGATGGTTAGATGACCAGAAAGTGGAAATCGGGTTCTCTAGGAGTAAATTGCTAAAATTGTGTCTTATTTTTAAAGCATTTTTTGTCTGATTATCCCACTTTAATCTTTGCATTACTTGAAATATTATTTTTCCTTTCTGCCCCCCACTTGTAATCATGACATGACTAGTAGTAGGAGGCCCCTTTCAAGGTTTATATGTTAATCATTCAGTTGTATTCTTTAATGCTGGGGTGTCTCACAGAAGTATTTTAAATAAATAATTCTCTTTCTTGGGCACATGAGTTTTGTTGACCCCTCAGAAGAGACACTGGAGGAGGGCCTTACCAGGGAATTGTTGGAGGAGCTTGGTATTGCTGTCCCAGTTTCCATTGAAGATCATGTGGAGTCTCGCTTTAGCACATCTCCTTCAGCCTCTTCTTCGTCCAACAAGCTCATCCTTCACTTCTATGTGAAAAAGATGGAGGAGGAGCAGATTCGGGAGGTAGAGAAAGCAGCCTCGTCCATCGCATCGGATCACGGTCTTGAGGTGACAAGTGATAAATGGCAGTGATTTACAGTTGCTAATGCTCAGCTCTGCATAACCTCTCCTCTCTCCCTCCAGGTGCTGGGAATGGTCCGAGTTCCTCTTTACACCTTTGAATCTGGAGGAGGGCTCTCGTGTTTTCTGTCGCACTCTTTCATTGGCAACGCTCGCTCCCAGCTTATCGACTCTCTGCTGCGCCTTCACCTGGTGTCCCCTAAGGATATACGGAGGGCTATCCAAAGCTCTCAGAGGATGCAAGAGCAGACTGTGCAAGACCTGCAGGTCGCCCTGGAGCTTACAGAGGAGCAGAGGAAGTGTCTGTAAAACATTTCTGCTGGTTAATGTTGTAACATAAACCCTCATCAGACCAGTTTGACCCTAAAATTACTCCTAAACATATAAATAACTCTGGTACTATATACATAGGCATTTTTAGGCAACACTTCATTTCAGCCTTTATCACTACTGGAAACAAATCCCCACTCTGGTTTTCAAGCTATTTCAATCTTTTAGTTGCCTTGTATCATTGGTATATTCTTGATTTGACTTAAATGTCTCAGCTGCATTTATTGTTACAAATATTCATGAAGGGATTGGTTTCTACCAGGATATAGGAGCACGAAACCTTGGCATGGAGAAAATTGTGTAAATGGTGTTTATATATTTTTAGAGATTAAAGTTCTAAATGAAAGTGTGTTGTGCATTTGTATTTCTTGTAGTGTGTCATTGCTAAAGAGTTTGACAGGCTGCCAGTCGATCACAGGACAACATACATATAATGCATAAACACATTTATACCTCAGGGCAATTTAGAGACACCAGTTAACTTAATAGATCATCTTTACTGGTTAAAAGAAGGAGCCAAATACCTCAGAGTGGACCTATGAATGTTCTGTTCATCCTCTGACATGGGAGTTGAATCGGAGCTTGACTGTCTAGCTGTGTATTTCCTGGACAGGGCCGCCTTTTACAGTTGCTTATTGTATTTCTACTTCTTCGCCTTAAACCCCGGTAGAGTTCTGCAACGGGTCGGGTACCGGCGGATCCCCGACGGGTCACCCGCTAAAATGCTCTTTTGCGGGTGAAAAATACATAAATAAAAATAAACGGGTCGGGGGTTGGGCGGATATTTTTTTAGTGCGGGCGGGTAGTTGGTGATTTTTTTTTTATGCGTGTGTGTTGTTATGGACATCAGAAATTTTATATTAATCAGGCACTGGGGTCACCCTTGTTGTAGCTTAAAGCCCTACCAGCAGTGTGGGCTTCCCTCCAAAAAGGCCACAGTCAGTGCATACACGTCTGCTGCAGTGTTAATGGCGCTGTTCTGCAGCGCAGCGTACTATAGCCTATTACTTGATGTGTTAACGGGTCGGGTTGCGGGTTAAATATCAAGGGGTCGGGTTCGTATTTGAATTGAAGATATCCGCAGGTGACTGGTCGGGTTCGGTGGTCATCCTAACGGGTTTGGGCGGGTGGGGGTTGGTAAAACTCGACCCGTGCAGGACTCTCCGGTCGTACTCGGCAGATGGCCGCTCACACTCAGCCTGGTTCTGCTGGAGGTTTCTTCCTGTAAAAAGGGAGTTTTTTCTCTCCACTGTTGCTACAAGCATGCTTAGTGTGAGGGATTGCATTCGAGTCAAGAAGTCGATGTAATCAATTGTTTTTCTTTAGATAGAAAACTTTGAATCAATTTGACTGTATGATCTGGTAAAGTATCTTGAGATGACATGTGTTGTGAATTGGTGCAATATAAATAAAATTAATTTAAATTTAATTTCAAAGGCAAACTGCACTCTGAGAGATTTGAATAGAGAACCTTCTTCCTGCAAATCAACAGTGCTGCCCTCTGCACCACAGTGCAGATCTTGAATGTATGTTGCTTTTGGCTGGCCCTTCCAGCTCTGTTCGCTCACTGAAATAAACATTTTAACCCAACATGTTCCAAGATACAATCCAACGCTTTATATGGTGGAGACTGATTCTTAAACATAATATTTTTGAATACTAGTATTTGCATATAATTCCTTTTATTACATAGTTCTAAAACAAACAAATAAAAAATGCTGGTTGAGATTTAAAGGTGGTTGTGGGCCTCTTGTCAAGATATCTTATTAAGTTCTCATAAAATATATTGATGGGATGAAATGTGAAATAAATCCAGTGGCTTGGAATCTATGCCTGGCAATTGATTAGGATAGTGACAATAAAACATTATTCAGTTGCTGCAAGTTCAATGTCTTCAATTCCGTAACATAAAAAAAAGCCAAATATGACTAACGGAAAGACCGGTATAGAAGATGCAGTCTGTGTTACCCTATAAGGTTCTGCATGGCAGCCTTGTGGTTTTCTATATCTGCTAGGATCAGAGTGGCACAATTCAGCATAAACATTCTTTTTCTACAGCCAGGTACAAGTCTTTGTCTTTGCGCTGCTTCTATGTTGCACTTATGAAGTTATTGCTGCACATCACCGCTTGAATCCTAGGATTAATTATCTCCATGACATACTATACGGCCTGCAGCTGAAGATTTGATTCCGTTTAAGTGCACCCTGGGTGCGCATAACTTGCTCATACCAGATGTTGGTTAACCTCATTCCCTGCTGGCACTGAGCAGAAACGAGACATAATATTGCCAAGCCTTTTGATACTTATTGTGCAGAAATTGCACTCTTTGTCCACTCACTTTTGTTGTTTTATCACAAATGGTTCTGCCTCCATATTCTTGTATTGCTATGAAAACCAGTAGCAAATGGGCAGGCAGAGAGAGCAGCACACCAAGGCAGAGTCTGCAGGGAAAACGACACATTTTAGGAAAAATGGTTAGCCAATACTAGTTCACCCTGAGATCAACCTTCATAAGGACAGGTAGAACCATTAACCATATGTACGAATTGGATTATTATTATAAAAATGTGAGATTTGTGAGGGCATGAGTGCAATCTACTTCACATATCTCAGTAAGAGTGTTTTTTTCTCAGCTGCCTGTAGATAGAAAAAAAGGGAACAGATCCGCTGTAACAGACAGGAAGCCCGGGAGAAGGGCAGCTAAACACATATCCTCTGTTGTCGTTTTGATTTGATTCTTCACCACTTGCATCTTGCACACCAAAGAGTGATGAGAGGGGATGCTGTCATGTGATGGTGTAGCACGACTATAACACAAGGTCATCAGAAGCAGGTTTAGAGCAGGAGAAGCAATGGATGGATAGATGGATGGAGCAGAGGGAGAGTGTGAGGGATGCTGAGGGAGGAAGACGGTGTATTCATAGCAGCAGCCGTATTTATAGCCACCCAAAGGAGAGGATAGGAGAGAGGGGGGCGGGGGGGCGTGACTTGGGCTGGGCTTTCTCTTCTGCTGCGTACGGCAGAGGATGGAGGAAAGGTGGGAGGGCAGTGGGAGGAGAGATGCTGCTCTGGCGTGAGTGGAGAGGCTATCTGGCATATTTTGAAAGATGGAGGGGGAGGGCTGTTTGTGTGTGAGCGTGTGTGCGTCTGTTTGAGAGAAATGAGAGGGAGAAGAATACTGAACTGAGGGAAATCTGTCAGATTCAAACACACAAAGTGTGTGCGAGAGAGAGAGAGGCTGGATGATGCAAAATAAACGAGAGATGAGAAGAACAGAGGAACATATAGAAGCAGACAGGAAATTCACAAACTGAGGTATGTACAGCTGTCATGCTGCTTTTGAATATGATAACAACCTGTGTGTGTGTGCGTGCGCGTCTGTGAGCACCAGAGAGTGAGAGATGTTTATTCATAGTGAAGTCCTAGTAAATAGAGCATATGATAACTTTTCCTTTTTGCACTCACTCACTGTTTAAAGATCAATTATGTAATTTGTGTGCACCATGTTTACATGCTTGTGTAATTATCCTGACGTGTTTTTAAGCCATTGTGTGGAGCCCCTCCAAAGTGCCTTAACCATATTTACTTATTTACTGAAAACTGCAAATATAGCTCAACACTTTGTTGTTGTCATTTCTGCAGAGCTTTAATTCCCTAATACATCTCCGTCCTCATCGGCAATACTGTGCATTGAAATGATGCAGATAAGCAATGCACGTTATAAATCTGCCTCACTGTGCAACAGTGCAACTGTGCTGATAATGAGAAAGGCTGCAAGATTCAACTCTTTTGTTTCTTCTTCACTATTTTTGAGTGAGTTCAATCGAGGAAGTCCTGATTTAGCATGGTCATGGTCCACATTGATTTCATACAAAAAAAAATGCGGAGCAGATTACAGGCTGAAAAGCAACTGAAATAATTTTCACCTCCCTGACATGAAAGAGAAAAAGGCAAAAAGGTGCTGTCCCATTTTTTGACTTGTACATTACATTGTTCTGTCTCTCTGTGTCGAGCTCTCTTTTTGTGAGCCTTATTTTTGTGCAGCATGCGCCTCTTTTGATGCCCTGGTATGAAGTGCATTGTGTGTTACTTATTTGCTGCCCCACTTCCTTCTTCAGGCGGTTTGCCTGTGAGCTGTTGGTTGTGTCTGTGACATAACCTGAGGTAAAGCTTTTCATTTCATTTATACTAAAATTTGGATCAGAAGCTGCAACATACTTGGTGTCATTCACTGTAAAGTCTTGAGTAGCTTTACCTTAATGTTTTGCCAAATCACAAATGAAATTCAGTGTTATGAAATGATAACAAGAAGTGCATCTTTGAGTGGAAGTGATTTTTTCAAAGAAAATGTTAAGAATATTGACTTTCCCATTCAATACTTGGTAAATACCATCTTTTGACTGCATTTACAGCTGCTAATGTTTTGGGAAAAGTCAACTTGCACTGATGGACATCTTTGCCTCTACTTTGACACATGGCTTAAACTCAGCCCGAGTAGAATTTAAGCATCTACTCACATCTGTTGTTCAACCTTGCCAGTTGACTAGCCCATTCTAACAAGTCATTTTGCTTTAAACTAAATAGTTTAATTTTACCTCTATGATCTCTTTAAGGATTACTGTCTTGCTGGAAGGATAATCTTCACCTCTATCCACTTTTTTGCAACTTCCAACAGGGTTTCTTCCCTTATCATCTTGTATTTAGCTTCATGTAGGTGTCCACTAACTCTGTCCAGCATAAATGTTCCACTACCATGTTTTCAGAGTGATGCTGGGTTAGTTTTCCGTCGCACATGGTTTTGCTTGTAGACCAGGAAGTTCCATTTAGGTCTCATCAGACTAGAGCTCCTTTCTGCATGTCCCCCTCTACATGGCTAAAGCAAACTACCAGTGGTACATATCATTACTTGTATCAACAATCTCCTTTATCATAAAATCATAGCCTGTCAATAAACGCAGCTACATGAGCTTTTTGATATCTGTTGCTCCTCCAGAGTTACTATCTGCCTCTCAGTTGCTTCTCTGATCAATGCCAGCTGTTTTTTTGTAGGCACAATGTCATGTCTCGATAGGTGTGCAGCTGGGACCTATTCTTACCATTTTCAAATGCTAGATTAAACATTGGAGATGTAAAGAATCTTGAGATGTCGTTCTATTAAACTTACTTGGCTTTAAACTTCTTCCCAACCCTTTCCATTACTTATCTGTAGGTTGATGTTTAAATGATATACAGGTTAAATGATATACAGGTTAACTCTGTTCAGTGGATATTTCACGTCTGATATTGGTCATAATTACACAGAATTTTATTCAAGACTGAAAAGGCTGAAGGAAAATGCAAACCATTTTTTTTTTAGATTAAAATATTTGCATGAAATGCTCTGACTTTCAGTAATATTCTTAATTAATAAAGTATCCTCTTTTTGATGGTAACATAATAAAGTGTGAAAAAGTTTAAGAGGTGTGAATACTTTTACCAAACACTAAAGGTCCTAAAAAATGATATACAAATTCTGCTATTTTTATATATGTTATACTAAATAAAATGTCTGTCCTCAAAGACCATCGTGCAACAAGTAAGCAAGATTTATGATACAAAAAAGCAACAAATAGGTATGCTGAGCTAACACAATGCAATGGCATAGATAAATAATGGGATTAGGTAAATAAAATTGCCAAAATTGCCATTTTTTAAATAATTGTAAGCCTGTAAAGCTACTCTTTATTGCCAAGTGTCATTATCACTGCCCTGATAGCTGACCTAATTGCTCATTTCACTCACAACTCTTCCCAGTTGTTAATTATCACTCATCTTATCCTCTTGCTCCTACTGCCTTATATGCGGCTCAGCCCAGCTATCGGGGCCAGATACTTGACAGATAATCCTGGCATATTTCCTAAGTTAATGTTCTCGTTCTCGGAGGCTAGTGGCTTATTGTTTCCTGATCATGTCCTGGCTCTTGTCCACTGAGCGTACCCTGTTTCTTTTTTGGCTCAGTGGAGGGAGCTAGTTTAAAGTTCCATAGTTCATGTCCTGGCTCTTATCCACTTACATTTGTGAAAGAAATGGTCACTACCAGGAGCTCAGAGGACTCCAGTGTGGAACTGTCATGGATTAACTTGTGCAACAAATACAGTCTAATATATTGTCGTTCCTAAATTTTCAATAGTCAACTGTCAGCTGTTTTATAAGAAAATAGAAGTGTTTGGGAGCAACAGCACCTCATCCACTAATGGGTGTGATCAGGATCAGCAGATGCTGAACCGCATAGTTTAAAAGGTTGCTAATTATTTGCAGTCAATTTCTACAGACCTCCAAACTTCATGTGGGCTTCAGATTAGCTCAAGAACAGCAGCTGCATTCAAGCCATAGATCACAAAGTGCAATGCAAAATGCAGTGGTTTAAAGCATGCCACCACTGGACACCAGTGCAGTGGAGAGACATTCTCTAGATTGATGTATTGCACATTTCCATCTGAAAATCTGATGGAAGAATCTGGGTTTGGTGGCTGCCAAGGGAATGCTACTTGTCTGATGCATTGTGCAAAATGGATATTTTAGTGGAGGGGGTGGTTATGGTGTGAGGTTATTTTTCAGGAGCTGGGCTCAGCCCCCTATCTCCAGTGAAATGAACCTTGAATTCTTCAGGATCCCAAGACATTTTGGATATCTCCATGCTCCCAACTGTGTGAGAACAGCTTGGAGCTGAACCCCTTCCTCTTCCAAATTCACTGTTCATCATTGCACAAAGCGTGCACATTAAGACATTGATAGCAGAGTCTGATGTGGATTAACTTAACTGCTCTGCGCAGGGTTCTGATCATAACCAGAAAGAATACCTTTGGAAAGAACTAAAGTGGATACTGAGAGCCAGGCCTTGTTATCCAACATCAGTATGTGACCTCTTATATGTGCTTCTTTAAAAATGGTAAAAAACAATCCCATAAACATACTCCTAAACCTTATGGATAGTTTCCCAGAAGATATGAAGCTGCTCTAGTTAAAAAGGATGGACCAAGGTCATATTAAACCTCTATGGAGTAGGAATGGATGTCACTTAAGGAGTCAAGGCAGATGAGAGAATAATTCTGACAGTGTAGTGTGCCAAGTGAATGCAATTTAACTCTATAGTTAGATTTCAGCCAGCAGCACAAAAACAGCGTATTTCTAGTATTAAAGACTTGATAGTACACTGTGTCCATATCAGGTTGAGAGATACTGACTCATCCCCCTGAGCTGTATTCATGAGGATCCAAACATAAAGGATATCCAGATAATATCAAGCTCTGTATTTTAGCTGTCTTCTGAGAAAGTAAATCTTTTTGAGAGGAATCTGAGCTTTGAGCGTCTTAAAGACAGATGTATCCAGTGTGCTAGCCTACCCTGTTATAAACTGATTCTCTTTTTCATGTTTTTCCTTTTCTTCTCATTTTTGACTTCTACTTAGACCATTAGGTATGCATTCCATAAACATGGAATGCAAAAGTACTTTTTTGTTTTGGAGGGGTTTAGCTTCGGTTTTTCCTTTGGTAGACAGGGACCTATTCCAGCTCTAATAAGCAGTTAATGTCCTGAGTTTGATCCAGTAAAGACTTACATTTTTATTTAAAATATACAGTATTTTACAATTTGTGCCATGCCTACTCATCATGAATGTGTCTTATGTAACTACATTTATATCTTGCTCTGAAACAAGTCTTCTTCCCTGCAGTGTGCGTCTTTTATCAGTGATGAAAGAATTAAGCTGCTTCTGAAAGCGTGAAGGAACAGAATAATTCTCTGCTGATTGTGCAGGAGTCAAAGCCTATGGTGGCATAAGACTATAGAGTTTCCTATTTCCGGAGACAAATGCTGCGTATTGATGTTTTCAAACCCACTTGTAGAAGGTGAACCCAGGTGTGCTGTCAAAGAAACTTGTGGTGGGGTCTGTTTAAGGAGGCACTACTTGTTGCATTGCAGTCTGCTGAAAGAAGGGCTGTTTGTTGGATCTGATTTTGCCCCACCTTAGTCCAATAATACAATATTTAAAAGGCATTTCAAAGTCAGTTTTCAATATCTTTGAAACGATCTGAAAATTACAGCTTTTCACCGTTCACTTTATAACCCATTGAAGATGTTGTCTGTATGTAAATCATCTCATCTTTCCAATGTCTTTTTGAACCGATATTACTCCACAAAACCCTTAAGGCTGATTTATACTTCGAAACTAGGTCGTCTGCGTAGATGTTGCAGTGAACAAAAAGACGTCCCCGCCCCCTCCGCAGACACTCTGCTTCACATCTCCCAAATTGTAGGTTACAGCAGACAGTGCCACG